CCTTACATTTCTCAATCTCCATGATTTCGCTGGGGTAAGTCATGATTTCTACCTTCCCATCAGCTTCGTTTTTGTCAAGCCATCGGTTGCATGGGAAGTTGTACATCTTGCCATGGACAGGAATGATAATCTGAACGCTACCAAGGTGCCAGCCCGCTTGGAGGCCCACGTTGTCATGCCCGATTAGAATTCGATGGATCTTAAGCAAAGAAAGTGGAAGGCAGACAGGCAGGAAAGAAAGAAGAATAGTGCGTATATCTTTTTAAAAATTCACTACTGCTGTGATACATAAAGGGCACCTGGGTTGGTAAAGCAAATTTTCACCATTGCATCAACATTTCACGCTAGTCCTGGCCTAATAGGAGAATATTTGTACTTCAGGATTGAATTGAGGGGTCCTTGGTGCTCTCTGAGCTTGGTTGTTTTCTTGCAGACATTTCATTACCCAACTAGATTACAACATCAGTGCTAATAGGGAGACTCCTACATTACCTAGTTGGAGTTCTGCTAATCCAGAGGTCTCCAAACTTGGCAACTTTAAGACTTGTGGACTTCAACTCCTAGAATTCCTGAGCTAACATGACAGGAGGAGGAATTCTGGGAGTTGAAGTCCACAAGTCTTAAAGCTGTCAAGTTTGAAGACCCCTGTTCTAGTCCAAGGGTCTTCAAACTTGGCAAGTTTAAGACTTGTGGACTTCAATTCCCAGAATTTCTGACTGGAGGAGGAATTCTGGGAGTTGAAGTCCACAAGTGTTTAAGCTGTCAAGTTTGAAGGCCCCTCTTCTAGTCCAACTCCCTGTTCAATCAGGAGACCCTATATCATTTCAGACAAATCTCTTCTTAAAAACCTGGATGGAACATCCACAACTTCTGGAGGCGAGTCGTTTCAACTGATTAATTGTTCAGGAAATTTCTCCTTAGTTCTAGGTTAGCGCTCTCCTTGATTAGCTTCCATCCGTTGCTTCTTGTCCTGCCTTCAGGTGCTTTGGAGAATAGCTGGACTCCCTCTTCTTTGTGGCAGCCCCTCAAATATTGGAACACTGCTATCATGTCACCCCTAATCCTTCTTTTTATTAACCTAGACATACCCAATTCCTGCAACCATTTTTCGTCTGTTTTAGTCTCCACTTCCCTAATCATCTTTGTTGCTCTTCTCTGCACTCTTCCTAGAGTCTCAATGTCTTTTTTATATCGTGGCAACCAAAACTGGATGCAGTATTCCAAGTGTGGCCTTAACAAGGCATTATAATATCACTTCACATGATCTTGATTCTATCCCTCTATTTATTCAGCTTAAGATTGCGTTGGCCTTTTTGGCAGCTGCAGCACACGGCTGGTTCATATTCAAGTGATTGCTTCCTTCCATCCAGGATCCCTCTAGCAGTTACTACGATTGAGCCAGATACCACCTATTCTATACCTGTGCCTTTGGTTTTTCTTGCCTAAATTTAGAAGCATACTTTTCACACTATTGAATTTCACTGAATTTCATGTATCCATCCTACTATTGAACTAGCTACCACCTACGCTATATCTGCGCAGGGGTTTTTCCCCCCAAAAAAAACTGTGACAGTGAAAAAAATGTTCTTACAAAACTCATTTTCAGTAAAACAAACCCGCAATCAGTTCTTACTCTGCGTCGTAATTTCAGATCTGTCTTACCTTCCCAATGTCCATTGTATCCAGAGTAAAAATATCTATCCGGCTACGTTCAAAGTAATTTCCTAAGTCGTTATCAGAAACCAGCAGAAATTCCTTTTTGGTGTCTGCTTTCTCACCGTACAGCTTGATCAAAACCTTCGAATCAGAGCTGGCTCCTGGGACATCTCCTGTCTTAATACTGATGTGATAACTGATATCTGTGAATATATTAATATTTGTACACAAGAGACACGATCATATCCTGCAAAAGTGTGCGCTTTTGTTCTTCCAGGGATGATCAAAGCAGAGAGAGAGAGAAAAAATGAAGTTTGGGGTTAGGGGGAAACTCAAGAAATCATAAATGAAATTAAGTTTGAGGAAAAGGATGCCCAAACTGGAACACTCCCGCTCTTTAAGAGAGCAAAGAATGAAAGTGAGCTTAATTATGTAATTTAGGTAATGTTATGAAATTTTCCCCATACAGCTGGATTCACTACAAATATGGCAGGTTTAATTTGTTTTTGTGTTTTTAAGAGAACGATATCTATAACTATCCAGGCGGCTGAAAGGGGAAAAAAATCATTTCCATTACTATGGATCGAGGGTGTCAAACTCAATTTCATTGTGGGCCACATCTGGGTTGTTTTTGGCCTCGGGGGGGGGATGGGAGGGGCCATGGTGGGTGTGGCCAGCTTGACATCACTCATGTCGAGAACGTCTGTGATGGCTCAAGCGCTCTCTGCCAGCAAAAATGGGCTCCCGAGCTCCATTTTCAGCCACAACCGGCTCCTGCTGCCTTCTGCCAGTGAAAACGGAGCTCGAGGCCCTGTGTTTTCAGCCGTGACGGCCTCCTGCTACTCTCTATCAGCGAAAACAGAACTAAGGGGGCTGTGCATGTCTCCTGAGCTCCTGTTTTGTTGGCAGAGGGTGGCAAGAGGCCATCATGGCTGAAACCACGGGCCCCCAAATCTCCTTTTTAGCTGGCAGAGGCACCATGGGCCAGTCTTTCACTATTTCCAGGGCAGCCCTGTGGACCAGATCTAAGTACCCCACGGGCCAGATGTGGCCCGTGGGCCTTGAGTTTGACAGCCCTGTGATGGATGATCCATTCTATAAAGCAAGGGTGATCAGCCTTGGCCATTTTAAGACTTGTGGACCTCAACTCCCAGAATTCCCCAGAATTCTTGGACTTAAAAGTCCACAAGTCTTAAACTTACCAAGGTTGGGTACCCTCCTGTGAAGCAAGGAGAGAGAATTGATTGGGTTCCTAGCAAACGTGGGAATTAGTGAAGGATGCTGGGACTTGTAGTTCAGTGATCTTTCGAAACTCGTTTGTTTCCTATTCTTATTACGAAGGAAGGAGTAAGACTATCGGGTGGAGAATCTGAGTGCAATAAGAAACCAGCAAATATAAGAGAACAAACACA